TTTTTTTAACTACGTTATATTCTTCTCTCAAATCTTTCATCATCTTTCAAATTCTTTCAATTCACCTTCACTACCTACCTACCACTGCTCCTAAGGCTTAGACAGGGGACCCCTGCAAACACAGCTTTGTTGTCTCCCTCCAGCCATCAGAGGGGATGCATGTTGCCCCCCGCCCCAACCATGGTGGTCAAGGATGGGGGTGAGGCCGTCGGTGGGGGTCTGACTAACGCAAAGACCGAGCATTTTGCCAGTAGCTGCGCCTCCCTTTTCATCGTCCCCCACCCCCAACCAAATAACAGCAGTGGCTAAGGCCAACACTCTCCCAGTGTGAGTGTGACAGGAAGGAGCTTTACGCTGCCAACAATCTATTGTTGTGACAATAGGAAATGCAGAGCACCTGCTGGTCGCCTTTCTCTCCTCCTCCTCCTCCTCCTCCTCCTTCTTCTTCTTCTTCTTCTTCTTCTTCTTCTTCTTCTTCTTCTTCTTCTGCTGCTGCTGCTGCTGCTGCTGCTGCTGCTGCTGCTGGTGCTGCTGGTGCTGCTGCGTTGCTGTATTGTGATGGTATGGCATGCATATTTCGCACCCTGCCGCGTCACTTTCTGACCTATTAACTTATTAAGGTAATAGATTGGTATCGGTACTTCAGGTGGGATGATCATATCAGTGAGCTGTTTACTTATTTACGTGGTAACGGGGCTAATTACCATTATCTAATGGATGGAAAAGGTGGCTGTTGTCAGGGAGCATGGGTGGATTAGCATATCAGTAAGCTGTTTTCTTATTGACATGGCTAATTACCATGATCTAATGGAAAAGGTAGATGTTGGCAGGGATCATGGGTGGAGTGTTCTCATTACCCCTCCAGTTTTGTTGGGGTAGCGGCTATGTCGACCGCACGGTGGTGGATTGCAGTCTTGGTTGGGTTGCCTTTGTGTTTAGTAGGCTGTGGGCTTAGGGCTTAGGGTGTGGGTGTGGGTGTGGGTATGTTCTAAGGTCAGGCAAGAATCCGTACCCAAGTATGAGCTTGCAAAGTACGAAGTTAAGCACTAAGGGTATGGTTGGTTAGTACCTAAGGCCAGCCGCATGTCTAGGTATGGGCCCTTGCTAAGGTCAAGGAAGAATCTGTACCTAGGTATAGAATCTGTACCTAGGTATGGGCTTTCTAAATAAGAGCGCATGCATAGGTATGGGTTCGTACTAAGGTCAAGATGTCATACCTAAGCATGGGTTAGCTTTGCTAAATTCAGAATCCATGCCTATGTAGTATGTATGGATTGGCTAAGTAAGAACCCATGCTTAGGTCTGACATCTTGACCTTGGTACGAACCCATACCTATGCTATAGAATCCATGCCTATGTATTGACCTTAGTACGAACCAGGTTCTTACCCATACCTTAGGTTCTAGCATGGTACTAAGGGCAAACCAGAACCGGTACGTAGGGAGTGGTTCATACTAAGGTTCAAGTGAAGGAACCTTGTCTAAGTTTGCAGAGAAGGCCAAAGTACTTGCCGGGGACAGTGTTACAAGGTGTAGAATCGGTCCTTTTTCAAAAAGACCAAATGTGTAAATCCATCAATACGTCTGATATTCACCCTCCCCCTGCCCCCCACCCCCACCCGCGCTCCCCTTGGTCTTGAGAGGGGAAGGGAGTTGGCATCCTGCATGACCTGAACGCTACTCTTGGGTGGCGGTTGTATTCTGCTTGGCTGTCACCTTTGCTTGACAGGTGTGTTATTATCGGTATCTGCGCTTTTATGCAAATGGCAAGTTTCTCTACAAGGTATGCATTTCATGCTTTCGTCCCCCATATTTTATAGTTTTGCTTTCTTCTTAACTTCGGTATCCTGCAGCGTTATTCAGGGCAAGCTATCGGTCTGAGGCTCATCTTCTGTGAGAGGAGTCGAATGTCAATTTCTTTGGGTTTCGGGGGAGAAGGGGAGGGAGGGGGGGCATCAGAAGACCAAGGGAGGGAGGTGGGGGGGGGTGCTCATCTTCTGTGAGAGGAGTCTGATGTCAATTTCTTTGGGTTTTGGGGTAGAAGGGGAGGGAGGCGGGGATCAGAAGACCAAGGGAGGGAGGTGGGTGGGTGGGTTTTCTGAGGGGAGAGAGAGAGAGAGAGAGAGAGAGAGAGAGAGAGAGAGAGAGAGAGAGAGAGAGAGAGAGAGAGAGAACTGTGTATGGTCGACGGTGTATAGTAGGTGAAATAGGTCACTTGACATGGTACTTAGCTTTGTTATGCTGAAGGTCTCCACAGGACAAGCAAACACTGTTAGGAACGAACATTCCAGATTTAGCTGTCCGTTTCAGAGGACCTTCACTCATTTTCCAAGGATGTCTCATTCTCATGGCTTGGTACGAGTTGAACCACCGGTGCGTTTCCGTGGTACCTTGTTCTTCCCTGCCGCTTAACACGATGCAAAATCGCAGCTCGGGACGAGCTCTTTGTTTTGGGGCATTCATTGGAAAGCAGAGGCTTGGTTTAACCTGCTTTCCTTGGCATTGGCAAGAAAACCTGGATTTTTTTTTTAAATTGAAAAACACGTGCTCCCCTGTGCCCATATCTGCTGTTTCTTGGGACCCCCGCCAAGAAACCTAGTTATCTGAAAGCTTCCCTGTTTTCACTGTTTTGTTTTCACTTTCAATTTTTTCAACATGTTGCTCCAACGGGGAGCGCACATAACCAGTATTGTCATTGGTTGGGCCAGGGGGGACGGTTCAGAGGGTGGAAAAAACGAAGTAATAAAAAGATGTTAGAATTTTTATTTTTTTTCCAAGCTAGGCTACCAGAGTGGCCCGTGACCACTTGCCCGGCTGGGCCAAAAAAAAATAAAAATTAAAAAATATATATATTTTTTTTTGAACTTCAATTTTTATTTAAAATTTGGTAAGGAATTTCGATTTGCCCCTGAGGCAAAAGTTGTTCAGTTTATTTTTCTGCGTAACATAGTTTCTTTTTCAGATTTTTTTGATTTTGTTTTTTTTTGCTGGGAGCCTGGGACCTTCTTTGGCCCTTGCACGGTCGGACCGCCTGGGCAAACAAGGTGACCCGGGCAGCCCAGCTGGTAGCCTAGTTTCCAAGTGAATTTGGTCCTTTTTTTTTTTTTTTTTTTTTTCAAACACCAGCTCCAGAACTTAGAAACAAAATGTGTGAAAGGAGGGAAAAACAATCTGAGAGTGGAATTTAAGTGCCTGTTGTGCTTTTCTAACTTCAAGTTCTTGTCCATGTTTTGCGCATGCATTTCCCGTGCAGTCTGCCTCAGGACATACTCACACCTAGACCTTTCTGAAATGAATTCGGATTATTTTATTCAGGTCCATTCGGAGAGAGCCATAGTGTGAAACTGCCCTTATGCAGCCATAGTGTGAAACTGCCCTTATGCAGCCGTGCTCTTATCTCCTGACATGATGGTTGCTGTTTGTCGATTATTCTGTCCTATCAGGTATCGCCACGTTGCCTCTCCAGGGTGGCCAAGATGATGGAAGGAAGAGGGTCGAAAGAAAATGGGGTCTTTGCAGGCCGCTTCACACTGACCAATGACAGGGTAAGTAAGCCCCAGAGGAGCGCTTCCTCTCTCCCCAGCCACTTGAGCACGTCCTCCTTTTTCTCTTTTTCAGAAAAAGGGCGATGGCCTTTTGAGATCTCATCATTTTGAGCTGACCACCCCCCCGGGTAATTCAGAAATTACGTTATTCTGCTCATCTGGTTGCATCTGGATTCGAACTTGGGTCTGTATGCCTCTGTATTTAGATTTTAAACCAATGCATGGTGGGTGTATCAACGGAGCTAGGCCCACCTCTTATCTTTGACGCCTGCTTTTTTTTTTCTTTTTTTTCCTTTTCTTGATGCAGAACTGTTAGCTCTGCTTGTGAGAGATTTGCATGCAGAGTTTGAACATTTAAGTGCCTCGAATTTCAAAACACCCTTGCCTGTTTAGGTGTGCGCACCTCATTGTGCTGAAGTCGTCACGCTCTCAATCCGGATGTCTGGGAAGGATAGCGAAGGTACGCATTTCCCCGCAAGTCGTCTAAGTTTCAAGCCACTGCCATCCATCCTGTCTGAACCCAGTCATAATGTGTGCGCAAAAAAAAAAAAAAAAAAAGAAGAAGAAGAAGAAAAAAAAGAAGACATGTTGTTTATATGCAACTCTCCCTTGCCCTCCTCCACTCGGGCCTCTCAACCGTAATGGGAAGGAGTGTGAGTGAGTACTCTTGTAATTTTCTGACTTGCCGGGGGAATACCTTTCTCGGCCTTTTGGCTAAGATCAAGTGTAGTATCTGTTCTGATCAGTTTAATATCTGATCCGTGGTCCATCGGACCACAAAAAAAAAAAAAAAAAAAAAAAAAAA